TTCCCTAAATAAGGGGACCCCAAAATAGACCCCAAAATACTAGAATCCTTGTTATGGAGACCCCCAATAAGGTACCCCTAGGTTTGGGAAACCTCAATATCAATCTCCCATCAGAAGTGGCCACGTCACCGACTTCCCAGGGAGGGGCCCCGTATAGCGCCATGCAGCAGGGAGGCCAAAGAGCCCTCCTACATAGACTGCCTTCATGGCAGACGCTGAAGGCAGGTAGTCATCTTATATTGTATTGTATCAGATTGTATTACATCATTTCATATCATAATATTTATGTATATTGTATTGTATTGTATTATATCAAACCGTATTTTACTATGTTATACTATATTATGTTATGTTATGGCTGCGGATGTATTGATTGTTTCTCGGGGAGATTAGAGCTTAGGTTCGGAGAATGGGGCAGGATTGTCCGGGTAAGGATCCTGGCATTCCGGGATGTAACGAGAACGTTATTCTTGACAGACACAATTTTTTCCGCCGACACGAAAGGTCCCCCCAGATGGCAATGGCCGTTGCAGTCCTCCTGCCCAAACTTTTGCCATCGAAGCGAGTAGGATCCTGATAGAACGACCCCCCCGCCTTCCTGAGACAGTGCCACATCCTCAGCCAACGGCCTTTGAAAGCGCGTAGCTTGATGCGTGCCGGTGGTGCCCAAGGTAGCTTGTACATCTGCAAGTCCTTCTAAACATCCTGCATGGAAGGGAAGATATATCTGATGGCAAGCATACTGTCCGCTCCTTGTCTACGATGGCGATACGGATCTTAAGAGGGGTATTCAATGTGACAACTCAACACTGCTCTTCATCTTACTGAGGCCTAGCAGCCCTAGCATTAGGCATGGACTGCAGGGGCCATACTGGGTGAATGGTGATGGGGAGTAAGATATGGGGATCCATAAATAGACAGATAGTAATATAGACCCCAGAATACTGATCCTTATTATGGGCCCTCAAAATGAAAATGGTATAGACTATTGAAGGAGTCATGGCACCCTCCAGAAACTAAAGTAGGCCAACGGTTGCCAGGTCGCTGTGCTTCTTAGCAGCATCTTTCTCTGCCAACATACAGCTCGATGGAATCCAGCTTTTGCCGCTGGGATGAATTCCAGGACCCTCTTTGTACCCCTCAATGGGTGTGTATGGTCCATAATATCCGGTATATAGAGGGTAGATGGAGGGTCTATGTTTAGAGTGTCTCTAGCGTTCCACATTTTCCCAGACGTGCGCTTAATCCAGAAGTGGGGCTCTTGCTGCTGCTTTTACTCCTGCCGCTGCTACTACAGCCACTAGGGCAACCACCAGCATCGCGACTGCCATAACTGCTGCTTTTGCTGCTCCTCACATTTCTCCTCCTCATGCATGACAAGCCAAACTCTATGCCCCAGGAGGGGTTACCAATGGTAAGTGTTCCCATTCGTCTCGCATTTCTACTGCACAGAGGTTAGCTGTGCGCCAAGCCCGCTGAGCAGACTCGACAGAAAATTTGCTGGATCATGCAGAGCTACGGAAGGCCAGAGCAAAAGCCCAACATTGGGGGCATAATGGAAAAGAAAATTGAAATTATTATAGTATATTAGGGTCATATCGGGGTTATATTGGGTAGTGGAAAAGAAAATGGAAACTACTATCGTATATTATTGCGGCCCCCTGAACGCGGGTTACTAGGGACTATATGGGTCACTACCGTTCATCTCCACGCAAGGAAGTAATCTTTGGGCGGCCATGGCTTATGTAACTTCACGCAAACCCTGTTTTCCGGTAGGAGAACCCAACACCGACACCCCTTTACCCTTAAACAAAACCTGCAGCGAACGCAAGTCTAGTTGGTCATCCTGATTTGCTGAAAGGCTGTTTACCGATCGGGGAAACGCAACACCCATACTCCCTGAGATGCTTGCAGGAGAGTTGGGCTTAGGGTTCTTCAGCCTGAAAACCTGAAAGCCCAAAGTACCTCCATGACCAACAAAGTATCATGGACTCCAAATGGGCTCCTTTTAATAGGACATTTACCCTGGTGTTGAAACTTACAGTAGAGTTTGGATAGTCAGCGGGCCAGTGGGGATATAAGTTCCTGTATGGACGGAGCTCAAAATACAGAGGCGGGGAGTTATTATCCCTAAGCCCTAAACCCTATTGGGGGAAGGCCTAAAGCCTGGAAGACAGGTCTGTGGTCGGTCCGTCAAGAGGATGAGACCGCAGCAGATATAGAAATGCAGCTCTCTGCCTGCAGAGTGGTGCGGGGGGGATTATAGCCCCCCTTAAGTAGATAGAATATGGGGTATATGGGGATCTTAGTATAGTATACCCAAAGCCATATTCTATCTACTTAAGGGGGACTATAGGGGTTTGGGGTTACTGGGGTTGTTGTGAAGATGATCTTTGTTCCTGAAATTTCCCCCCGCGGGTATAGTTTCAGGGGTTTAGGCCCTGGGGTGTTGGGCTTAGGTTTGTCTTGACAAAGCTTTGTAAGTTTCGATCTCTCGCTCTTGACAAGACACAGCTACATGCATATCTTTAAGTGCCAGCATTCAGGGGCAGGTAGAGGCAGGTGTCTAGGTTTGGGACTGTTTTGGATTCCAGCCCTAGACCCTGCACCTTTAAACCGTGTGGTCGAGGGTTGGGCTTGCATGCTGTGCAGGTTTAAGGTCACTTGAGCTATAATCTAAACTCCTTAGAGGGGTGTGTATAGGGGATTATGTAGGGGACTATTGTAACGAGTTTACTAAGGGGGATACTAGGAGTTTAGACTATATCTCACCTGGAGTTCAGGGTCCTAGCGCAGAAGATACAGCAGTCGATTCGTTCATTTGAAGCGGCCACTTCTAAGACTCTAAGCCTGAAACCCGAAGCCTTAAACTCCATCATTTCCGAAAACCCTGATGCATCCCAAACCCGGAACCCTAAACCCAAACTTTCTAAACCCAAACCCTCGACTCTAGATCCTATTCCCGCAGCCAGGCTGGAGTTTGAACGGAATGGCTTCTGCCAAGTTTCCCAGCTACTGTCCATTCAAGAAGCTACACAGCTTGCGGAGGAGCTGTCTACGGTGCAATCCTTGGAGACTTGGATGAAGGAATCTCAGTAAGTCGAGGGTTTAGGGACTTAGGGTTTAAGGGCTGGCGCAAGGGTGTAGGGGCCATAAGGTTTAGGGATTATAGGATATAGGATATAAGTATATTCTGGATCCTCGAACTAGTTTATGGAATGGTAGAACTACAGGAGAGAGTTCTTTTGTCTTCCTATAGGGAAGAGTGGCCAAGTTTCTCGCAGGTGTTCGGCAGGCTTGGGATGTTGAAATTATGGGTAACGGGCCTAAATAACAACCAATACCGCGGTCAGAGACTTCCTGTATAGTCATGGTATATGCTACCTCAAATGGACTTTAATATGATATCTATAATTCTTGAGGCCCCTACAGTCCCTTCGTATAACCCTCATGTGACGCAAATGATTCATTTCATGTTTCATGTTCTTTCCACTAGGTTCTTTAATACTGGTAAGTATTTAGGCCCTAAATCCTGAACCCCTACATTGTGGATCCAGCATTTGGTAAGCATAAAGGGTTTAAATGTGTAAGAAGTAAGGTTGGTAAGGGTTTTGCGCTCCGGGTCGACTGCGTTCGAGGCTGCTAGCTCTATGGGCGTGAAGAGACTACCCAACAAAGGGGATTGAAGGTTTACAGTGTAGGGTTGAGAGTTGAGTCAGAAAACCCTAAACCCTAAACCCGTGTGTTCTTTTCCAAGAAGCCTAAGTATATGTACATCCCTCCAAAGGACATCTAGATTCATGCCCTGAAGCTGAGCCGTTCCCCGGCGCCAAACATAAGCGTAGAAAGTATACAAATCAGGGTTCGGGTTTAGGGCTTTTAGGCTTAGGGTTTAGAGTTTAGTGTTTTAGAGCTTTACAGTTTAGGGCTTTAGGGCTGAGGGTTTTAGGCTTCAGGGTGTGAGGTTTTTAGTGTTTCAGGATTTAGTGTTACGGGCTCATGGTACTGCTTAGCGACGGAAGTTGAAAAGCCACAGCCCAGAGCCCAAACAACAAAAACATTCAAGTCTCCAAAAGTGGATAAAGCCTCTCAACTGGAGCCTTGGATACCCTATTCATATACAGGGATCACAAGGCAAGTGTCCACTTCATAAAAACATAAACCCAGACCTAAACCTGAAGCCCCCCTAAAACCCTAAAAGCCCTGAACCCTAAACCCGAAAGCCTCCTGGCCTAGCAAGGAGAGTGTTGAGTTGGCAGCTCTTCAGCTTCGTGGCAGCCCATTATTACCGTTTTGTGCTCCAACCAGTCTGTTGTCTAGTCTAGAGTGTTTTGGGGTAACGTTTGGGGCTTAGGTTCAGGGTCTAGGTTAGGTGGAACCCCCGCCCTGTAATAGTGAAATTATAGGAATACATAGGTGAACCCTAACATAGTTATTAGTATCCCGGTTAGTCACTATTACTGGGCAGGGCGTCCACCATAGGGTTCTATGTTCAGGGCTTAGGCTTCAGGATTGATGGTCTCGCATTGCTGACCAACAAGTCACTGACATTCTGCCATTGAGGCTTAATCTATACAGGTTTCATTCCAACCGTTCTTCCGTGGGGTGTGATCCCGAGTTTTGGGCCTTATCCCCAGGGCTCCATGTAGCAAAATTGTGTATACTTGCGGCCCAAAGAGATTCCCATATAACTACTTTAGGGAATCATGTATGTATCATGTAGTTACATGGAGCCTTTGGGTATGCCTTGGAACTTTACGAGCCTCTTGCATCTCCCTAAGGCACGAGTATACTATTGCAACCTCCAGGCCCCAGAAAACCCAAACTCCGAACCCGCTTCAAAGTCACGAGTTCCTCAAGACCTGAAACCCTAGACTCCCCCAACAGTCACGAGTTCCTTGAGACAAAATACATTAAAACAACTTACCAGGCACGAGTTGCGACAGCACGTCGCGCCCGAGGTTGCCAAATCCTGCCAAACTGCGCAGGATTGCAAGCTGATGCTTCAGAAGTATCACAGCACAGGGAAGGCAGGGTGAAGTTGGAGGGGTGAGAGCTCCGTTCAGGGCCATAGACCCCCAAATACTTTTGTAGTCATCTATAATCTTTCCAGGGACCCCTAAAAATAGGGTGCCAAAAGAAGTTCTTGCCCCAACTTCGTCAATGTTTCAACTTTACAACGAATATTATGACCCTTGATGATCTCTGTATCTATCGTTCATACTACCCTGACAGTTAGTACAATTCCAATGGCTTCTACATGCTTTTTGGGCCGGAACCTAACCCGCAGGTGAAGTTTCTCCAGTACTTCAACCTCCACCGACACAGCACGCTCCTGCGCAAAGCCGCCCTTTCCCCACGCCTGGGCTTCTGGGCGGCACGGCTTCTGGGCGTGTCGCAGGTCCGCTTATACCAGGCCTGGGGGTAGGGCTCCGGGTGCAGTGGATGTGTTGGTTTGACTGGGTGTCTGATATGGTTACGGTTCTAAGTAAGGTTAAAGGTGTAGATAGTTTCATTAGACACTGCAACCCCCCTTGAGCCGTACATCGTACTAAACCGTCAGCGCTTAACACATCACCAAACCAATTCTACTCTCCCCTTCAAAAACATGGAATGCATCTCCAAGTCGATTTTAGCCTACAAAGGGCAGATTTCAGGTTTACGTTTACAGTACTTTGCATTGAAGGATACTTCCTAACACCCTAAGCCCAAAACCGCAAACCCGAATCAGGATGCACTTTTCATGAAGTACCCGCGACATGGACCTACTCGCTGGCATTCGGACCTTGCCCCTGGCTCTTATCAGAAGAGTTGTTCCAGGTGTTGACTTTTGAAGCGTTGAAGAAGCCATAGCAGGTAAACTAAGGCGCAAACCCTGAACCCAAAACGCGGGCTTAGGTTCCAGCAAATTAAAGTTAACATGAGTTTTTAGGGTTTAAGGCAGGACTTCGGGTTTGGGGTCGGTAGGTATGAGTTAGATTTAAGCTTCTTGTTTCGCAAGGTGTTAGGGGAAGCTGTTCGATAGGTTCGAAGTGTGACACGGCAGCTGCTCAGGGCGTCGTAGCCTAGTGCGATGAGCAAAGATCTAGGAAGCAAATGAGTCCTAAACCCCTAATCTCTAAGCCCCTATAGCCCTAAACCCTTTGCGATCCTCTGCGGCTGTCATGGGAATTCCGGGCAGCTTGGCTTAGCCTGAAGCTACCCAAAGCAAAGATGTGTCTTTTGATGTATGAGTTGCTTAGCTTTGGTGCATGATTTCGTCGATCCCCGTGCCTGGCTTTCATTTCCACATCCTGTGGGTTTCCTAGCTGTATGTTTCCAAGAAGCCTGTTCCCCCTAGCGATTCAAGCCGTATGGCACCAAGAAGTGATCCGTGTACCTATAAAATTCTCTGACAATTTCAGTTGATATTCCAATCCACATGCTTAAGCCCGAGCCCTAGCACCCTAAACCCTAAGGCCTAAGGCCTAAGCAAGCTAAGGCTCTATCCCCTTTCGACACAAACGCGTTCGTTACTGTCTGGCTTGCCTTGACACCGGTGCCCGCCAAGGGAGGGGCTGGACTTCGATTTGCACGCGGTAGCCACCGCGACTATACGCTGCACTACCACAGTGATTCTCGATTTGTGTCCTTATGGCTGGCATGACGGAGCTTCCAGAACGGTTTTGGTTTTGGGATTAGAGTTTGGAAGAAGACCAGATCGTACAGCATCTAGCAGGTTTGTAGGTTTTCAATACTTTGGTCCCGTGCTGGGATAATTTGTCTAACTGTCAAAGCCCTAAACCCTAAATCCTACACCCCTAAACCCTATACCCCTAAACCCTAAGCCCTTCCTTTATTATGGGTAACTTGCTGGCATGGAGGGCTCTCACATCATTTCCAGATCCTTTCCTCAGAAACCGCGTGGCTTCACGAAGGCAATCTTGAAGCCCCAAAGCGTAACTGAGTAAACCTCAAACCGCCATTTCCAGAAGCTTAGACGGTCAAGATAAAGGTATCCAAATATAAGCCCCCAAATGCCATAATCCTTATTCTGGGGACCCCCAAAGAGGTACCCCTAATTTTGGGAAACCCTAAACCCTATATACTATATACATATATATATATATATCCCCTATACCCTATACCCCTTATTATGGGGACCCCCAAAAAAGGTACCCCTAACTTGGTCCAAAGCCCTGAGCCCGAAGCCACCAACCTAACTTTTTACGCGTTTGGATTTGGGGCTTAGGGTTTTAGGGCTTACCTAAACCCCCAAAGTAGGTAAAATAATGGCCCAATTCCCCTAAATCTAGCCCAAAAGGCCATTATTCTACATACTTTGGGGGTCCAGGTAGGGTTTAGGGCTTAGGGTTTAGGGCTTCAACCCTAAAATCCAGGATCTGGCGGAGAGCTACACGCAGGATGACCTCAGCAGCCGCTACATTATCCAGGAGACCAGGGGTGCTCTTTTTGAAGGCCTAGGGTTTAGGGTTTAGGGTTTAGGGTTTGTTTCGGAGTAATGTGCTTCTTCTTCCCTGAGTAGTAGTTGTGGAAATGAGGAGCGCTACAGGAACGCTAGAATGATGCCCTAAACCCTAAACTCTACACCCCGAACTCTAAACAAAGTCCAGGCGCATACCAAAAAGTCTGCAGGGTTGAAAGGTTCTAAATAAACCCTTATGACGTAAAACTCTCCAAAAAACCGCTCGTGCGATTCGAAATAACTACCATAAACTGACATAGACTATGTTTCACAATAGTCTGCATGGCAGTTCTAATCTTAACTTGGGAGTGGGTTCCTACCCTCAACCCCTAAACCCTAAAACCGAAACCCTAAACCCCAAACCTTAAAACCTAAACCCTAAGACCTAAACCCAAAAACCTAAACCCCAAAGCCCAAACCCTAAAACCTACGTAAATCCTAAAACTTAAACCTAAAACCTAAACCCTAAATCCTACGTAAACCCGAAAACCTAAACCCTAAAACCTAAACCTAAACTGAAAACCCTGCACCCTAAAACCCTAAACCTAAAACCAAACCCTCAACCCTAAAGCCTAAACCTGAACCCAGAACCCTGCACCCTAAAACCCTCAACCATAGACCTAAACCCTAAACCCTAAACCCTAAATCCTAAACCCTAAGCAGGAGTCTTCGGACTTGGAGCCTGGAGATGCTACGTGGCACCATGGCCGACAGTTTAGGGTTGAGGGGGTTTAGGGCTTAGGGCTTAGAGTTTAGGGTTTAGGGTTTAGAGTTTAGGGTTTAGAGTTTAGGGTTTAGGGTTTAGAGATTAGGGTTTAGAGATTAGAGGGGAGGTTCAGGATTTAGGGTACAGGGGATATATTGAGGTTATGAGGGGGTAATGGGAAAGAGAATGGAAACTACTATTTAGGCTTTAGGGTTTAGGGTTTAGGGACTGGTGCATAGGCCAAACTACTAAGCCCTACATATACACATATATCCGCATATACACATATATATATATATACACGCACACCTGGGGTCCCTTAGGGTACTGCAGCTCCATAAACATGAAGGCACCATGGCTGGACATTGCACGCAGCCTTGCCTTTGGACCGCAAGGCTCGGGCAATTCTGCCCCCAGAAGCCGTTCCTTGACAGTTGGGGGAGTGGTACCTCAACTGCTAGACTACATAAACTAATGGTCTTTTGGGCAGTGTTTTGTGGTTCTGGGCAATTATTTTGCACACTTTGTGGCTTTATATAGGTAGTTACAACTTTTTCATGAAGGGGTGTCTTCTTGTTATCTCATTCGTTGTCTTCGTCCTCCCTGTAGCTGCAGAAGCAGTATCGTGCCAGTCGCCATGGCCGTTACAGCTGTCGTTGTCGTCATCGCCGTTCCACGTTCTTACCGCCTTTCTTGAGAAGAATGTAGGAACTCAAGTCATGCTAGCAGAGCAGTACACAAGGCATCATCCCAACTATTATGTTGCATAATGGAACACCGATATAACCCCAATATACTATAGTAGTTTCCATTTTCAAATATAACACCAAGATAAATGATTTCCGGCTAAATTTGCCATGTAGGCCATCTTGTGGATTTGCCAAGTCCTGAGGGGTCGGGGGGTGATTTGTTGCTGTTGTCATCGATACCTCACGAACCCCTTTGCACATTCTGTATGAGCTTTACCTAAACCGTCTCTGCCCCCTGACATGCTCTGTACTCGTACGAACTTTCCCCCTAACCCCTGTATGTGGCCGTTATGTGTATATGCATATTTTGCATGAACTTTACCCGAATCCTCTATGTCCGTACATCTTGTGTATGATCTTCAACCCAATCCCTAAATACATATATATATATATACACGCCCGTCACATATTCTGTCTGAACTTTACCCTGAACCATACAATCATGTGTATATACACTCCCTTTTTTGAATGTACTTTGATCAAAACTCTATATCCTGAAATCCCAGACCCAAGCCCTACACCCTATGAACCCTCAAACCTCCTATACAATCCAAGTTTTCATTTGATTTGATTTGATATCTGATTCTGCGTTTAATTCTCCTAACCCCAGTCAAGTGGATGCCCATAGTGGCTCCTTCGCAATTCCCAAACAGAGTAGCTTCCATTCTCTTTTCCATGCCTCTGTGCCCTGCAGCCGAAACCCAAAACTTAAACCCTGAACCAATAACCTCCACCAGTCCCTCCAAGACCTCTCAGAGATCCTGAGACCCCGAACTGACTGGTTCTAAGTAGGGAATAAAGGAGTATAAGCCCTATATGGTAGTAAAGGCCCTTATGCCCTACTAAACCCTAAACCCTAAACCCTCAAATCAAAAGCCCTGGCCTCCGCAGGCGCGAAGTCCACGAGTGGCATGGGCCCTGAGCTTTGTTGCCAGCGATGCACACATTCTGCCGGACGAGTCCCTGTCACCGGGCAGGTTTTTGAAGCGTTTTGGCTTTTGCAGGTAGGATGTGCCTGGTTCTACACATTTACCATAAGAATGCTATTTATCCAGTATATGGGCTCTAAGGTTATTAGTATTGACATTTATGAGGTCTAGGTAGGAAAGCTTCAAACTTTTGGGCTGTAGGGTTGTGGGCTTTTGGGTCGTGGGCTTCAGGGTTCGCTTCTACTGGGGTTGGGGTCAGAGGGTTCGTCAAGGGTTCAGCCTTTAGCGTGTCGAATTGATTTGTGATGTTTGCTGCTAGTTTTTGTTGAATTTGTGTTAATGCCGAAGTGGAATTCACCGCACTTGCAGCAACGGTAACGCAGTCTGTCCGGACGCTGTATAGCAGCATTTTTGACTTCCCCAACGTATTGAGCCCCTACGTGACTGAATCTCTGATGGCTAACTCACAAAGCCTACGAATACCTCTGCCAGCTCTTTTGATAGGAGCATCGTCCAAGAAGCAGAAGACTCTGTATCGTTTCGGCCCTGGATTTGCAAAATCCGACCGGGAAGTCGCGCTGAGCATGCAATGCTTCCGCTCCTTCCAGCAGAGCCCTGAAAGAAGCCTGCTGTCACAGATTCTGGAAGCCTGGCAGTGGAAACTTGATTGAAGGGAACCGCCAGGAAATGCTCAGAGATTCTAGCTTACCTGCGCCCGTAGTAGAGCTTGAGTGAGATCCACGCGTTGGCAACTGCTTCGCAGAGCCACAAAAGTCTGCTGTACAGGGATTTCGGTCCTGCTGCAAAGCAGTACTTTGCGCAACCCCTTGCCAGGGACGTTCCCAAGCTTGCCAGCATCCCCTGCATTGCACGAGCTTTTAGCCCTGATCCCCTAGACGCCTGCCGGTCTAGCCTAGGTCCTCCCTGTCGGAGTCTATGGCCCCTTTTCCCCCCTCGACCTGCTTTCTTCATTACTTGAACTGTCTGGGAATTCTCTATCGTTCTTTCAAATGCAGAGCCGGAATCGTCAAAGGCATTCGCTGTGTTTGCGAGAAGGTTGACTAAGAGCTTCAGCGGCATAGGTTTGTTGTATCCCTCCCCAGGTTTGTTGTATCCTCCAATCCCTCACCAAACAAAACTTCTAGCATATTATTCTATGTCCATTGCTATACTATACTGGGGATATGCATCGCGCAGGGACTGAGTGGTTTCATCATGGTAAATCTCATTACTTCTAAAAAGTTGACGAAAACTAGTCAAGCTTCATGGCCAGAGTACTGCTACAAAGGCTGTTGATTTCGCAAGATGAGGCTGGCATAAAAAGAGGTTGACGATTGTGTAGCTACTCTACAGCTGATCCTTGTATTCGGCCCTCGACTTAGAAGGTTGTTGTGTAATGCCAGTTAGGTACCTTCTACATGGCCTTAGGTGCTCTTCCTCCCACAAAACCAGACTGAAGGTCAGGATTAGACCCTGGCAAGCTCAAAACGATGCCACATGATGGGCTGAGAGCATCCAAGCTTCCTCATGTAGCAGCCCCAGATGGGTCAAGGGTTCAAAGGGTGTAAGGGTTTCTCCAATTCCCCTTGCCCCCATCAATCCCAAGTGTCCCCTCACACCTAAACGGCCCAAAATTCCATCTCGCTTTCATTGTTCAATTTTATTCTGCATCTTGGTAACTGTTTCAAGAGCAACCCAGCAATCCTCACCTCAACCCTGAGCCCTGAATACTGCAGTTGGTCCCCCCGTTGAATTCCATCCCCCTATACATCCTAATATATTACAAGCCTTAAGCCCTATAAACCCTAAACCCTCAACCCTAAACCGAAATCCTAAACCCGAAAAGTCTGAAACTCACGAGGATGAGGCTCGAGGACGCCTCCTCCGCGCCGCCTCGGCACCCGCACCGCTGAGGAAGAAGGAGGACGAGTCATGGGGCAAAGGGTGGACTGGCTTCCATTCTGCGAAGATTTACCCAAAGGCTCCATGTAGCTATATAGTATATACTTAGGGCCTTAGGGCCCAAAGGAGTTCCCACATATCACACAAGTACGTTTGGGCCCAAGCATTTACCATATAGCTACATGGAGCCCTTGAGTTAGGGTTTAGGGTTTCAGGTTCGGTGTTGTAGTGGGGCCTTTTGAAAATTGACATTGTGGTCGTCCTTTTCTGGATTCTGCTCGGGCCCCAACGGAGGGCCTTCTATCACTCCGCAGGATTGGGAGGCAACAGCTTCAGGGTAATCTAAACCCTACACCCTAAACCCTAAACCCTATATAATCGCTTGGGCTTATGGATCACCACGGGGTCGTGGGGGCCAAGGGCTAGTGTTGGACCTTCTTTAAACTTTGGGGCCCCCTCCCCCACCCTCCCCTCCCTAACAATGGGGCCTTCAGAAAATTAGAAATTAAGGACTCTGAATAAGGGCTGTACGGTATTGAGGGCCCCAGGAGGCCTTGTTGATTACTTCGACAGGGATTGTTTAACTTCGGTCCCGCACTTCTAGGGCCCCAAAATCAAAACACTTTATTCAAGGTCTTCCATCACATAATTCAAGGTCTCTTCACTAAAGCCAGTGCAACATTACAGGGGCTGAGGTCAGATGCCAGCAAGGGTACACTCGTACCTGAGCATCCTTCCTTCTGATAGCGCCAAGGGCCACTGGTGCTTGACCCAGAAGTCTGCAGCTCAATCCTGAAACTGGATCCCCCCCCACCAACACCTACATCAGCTACAGGTATATCAATGTAGTAAGGCAATTCGCGTCGATGGGTCAGAGTTAGCATTTTTCTCAGGACATGAACTCCCAGGAGCTTTGAGTTGGTAACTTAATGCAGGCTATTGTCCATACAGCTGCTCCTCAGTGACCCCAAAACCCCAACCCTGAGTGCACCTCATTATTTGAATGTAGCCAAAGAGAGTAAATCCAAATCTCCAAACAAATCGTACATGCGTGAGCAAGCTGCCCGGGCGGGGGCAGCGGCATGCAGGACCTGCGAACCCATGCTAAGAAGAACATTGCTCACAAGGCAAGCTTTTACAATCAGAGGACCAAGGTCCAGGTCTTAGGCTTTGGAGTTCAGGGTTTGCGGATTTGGTTTAAGGTTCTGGGTTTAGGACCATCTACCAGTAGTGGCTGGAAGTGGCTGGGCTTCTTTTGGAAGATTCGAGGACATGTCTGGGTGGGTGTGCCCTCATAGGACAGCTCTAACACATATTATACACCTGACATGAGCTTTTCCTTCAAGCAGAAGCTGTCCTCAAAAAGACGGGGAAACCATGCCGTTCGGAGCTGTGGGTCCTCCCTCCTCTTCTCCCTTTCTGCCTCTGAGGGTTTAGTGGTTCAGGGTTTCGGGTTTTCCTTTAGGTTCCAGGCCCTCCGAAAGCCTGTAGTTTCTGCTGGAGTGGGTTTCTCCACAGGTAGGCTTCAAGGCGCGCACAATCCCTGCTACGCAAGCTGTACTTCTAATTGACAAGCCTTCGGAGAAACCATGTGTGCACAGTAACTACTATACCTCGTATGGCCCCAAAATTAATATGATAATCCAAAATCTGGGATCCCCTACAAAGGTATCCCAACTTTAAGAAACCCAAAACCCAAAACCTTATATAACCCCATTATAGTAGTTTCCTGTCTCTTTTCCATTTTCCCAGTATAACCCCATATAACCTCATATAACCCCATATATACCTGTAGGACTCCTATATCCCTCACTATATTCTCAAAGAAGCGGCCTTTAGGGAAACGTTTTGGTCCATCTCAAAGATTAGAAAGGCACAAGGGACCCTTGAAGCCTTATGGTCCCTTTCAAGGGTTACATTGGGCGTAATTTTTGAGAAAGCCCATGTTAGTTATAGTCTAAACTCCTAACATCCCCCTTAATACCCCCTTATTATGCTCCCCAATATAATCCCCTATATAACCCCTGTAAGGAGTTTAGACTATAGCAAAGCCTTGACAGGGGAGGCCCTAAGCCCTGGACCCTTTGCAGCCCCAAACAGAAAGCAATGAATTCTGAACCACCTGAAGCGTACCAGGCATGGAACCATAGCCCTAAGCCTAAGCCCTAAACCATAAACGAAACCCTGAACTCTATCAGCCAAACGCCAAGATGAACCCCCCCACCCCAAAAAACATCTGGGTAGATCACCAGCGACGCGCTTCGAGCTGCTGGAAAGACACAGGTGTGGATTTCAATTTTTAACCTTAAGAATTTTGCCATGGGGCTGTTCTTCTAGCCCAGCAGTAAGCAGATTAACCTCATTTTTGGTTGGGCTCCAGTGCAGATACATTTTGGGCTTAGGGAATCAGAGATTTTATGTAGGTTTGGTTTAGGTTGAGATTTGTCAGGGATACCCAATTGGGATGTGTAGGGTATCGTAGGCTTGCGCTTGATGCGTTGTTGGAGCGACACATTGGAGCCGTGCTGCAGCATCATATCATACGCTGATCACAGTATAAAAGCTACAAAACCCTACGGTGCTCTGGTATAGGGCTTAGGGTTGAGTTTTATGTCGCCAAGTCCTCAAGAGGTTCAGGGTTCTCACATCCTATCTGGCTTTTCAGATAAAGCGATCCGACGGGAGGGAGCTGACAGAATGAAGATTATAATGATTTGGTCTAGCGGAAAGGAGTTGTTGAATTGCCCCCTTCCCATTCAAGAGCCCTATAATAACTACTGTCCTTCTGAAGGCAAGGTAGATGGGATTCCATATTGGTTGTCGGAGGACAGCTTCTGGCAGGCCCCTCCGCAATCAGCGGGAAGCAAGCTTCCGTCACAGAGCAGAAGCTCTATAATCTCGGAAGCTGCTATCTGGATATGTCACAGTCACCAGTTAAAACCGCCCACATCTCAACACCTGCACCCTAAGCCCTGCGCATTTTTTTGTAAGCTTCGGACTTTGAAATCCCAAATCGTAGAATTGTCGTGTACTACGACTGAAGACACAACACAACGTGCAGACCCGAAGCCTCTCGCCCCTCTATGTATGTATGGGCCCCCTTAAGTAGATAGAATATGGGGTATATGGGGATCTTATTATATGATACCCAAAGCCATATTCTATCTACTTAAGGGCGACTATGCAAGTAAGAGCGCTTCTCAGCAGTGATCTTTTGCATTCTCCTTCACAGGATATTTTCCTTAACGCGCATATAATTCTGTATGATCCCTGTTCTCTTAGGGGCTTCCCAAAATTAGGGTACCTTGAAAGGGGAATATGAGGGGTTATAGGGGTAGAAAGGGATACATAGGAATGTGTACAAGCACACCTCAAGCCTTGACTGGCTCCTGACCCAGCCAAAAGGCTCCTCCTCGACCTGTGCGGAAGAACACCATGCGCACAGCTTCCACAACATACAGTACCTTGGCGTTTGGGCTTGGGGTTTGAATCGCAGGAGGGTAGGGCTTTGACTGTTTTTCGGATGCACTCTCCATCAGTTTGGTTTGGGGTGTTGGGGAGCAAAATGTTTGGCATCCTGGGTTCGCATGACTTTCGACAGCTGCAAACACTTGTGTACTTCAGCTTAACCTAACTAGCATACACATGTGCTATCCAGATGCACCAAATTTCAAGATTTTAAGCCTTCAACTGCTCCAAGGTCTTAAGTTGAAACTC